ATTATATGTAATCATTAATGGCATTCAAAGAACTTTGTGGTCTATTTGAAAAATGTTATTCTTTTGCTGGAGAGCATTTTTATGAATTACCAAACCATGGAAGGGATGGAGTTGTTGACTTGTGGTATACAGCTTGTTTTGTACTAAGGTTTTACTAATGGACTTGCTTGACATGTTTGATTGAGCAGTGACACTATATACATTATTCATGCAGTATATTTTACTTGTAAATATTCTACATTGAACAGAATATTAACCCTTTAAGCTAGTGGCAATGTGCTTTACTTTTTTATTTTTTCTGTCTATTGTGGTCAGACAATTTTTGCTCATTAAGGAGAGAGTGCTGCCACTTAATGGGTTAAAGCTTTTCTGTAAATTTATGTAAATTTCGAACGATAACTATGTAATAGCCGGTACTGTGAATGGAACCCGCTGCCCTGTGATTCTGATCAGCTTTTTAACCGCCAAGGGTTCTGAAGCCCTAAGAGTCCATCGCCCTGAGAGTCAATCAGGCTCCAGGGGCGGATCTAGGTTAAGTCCAATCAGTCGCGTGACTTACGTATTTTTTGCAAAGGATAATTAATTTATTATTTCGTAATTTGAATAATTAATTCCCGAATATAATATGAATTCATATCAAAGTCCAGTGTACGTCTTTACGAGCTCAGTTTTGAATAAATATATGCTTTATCTAGAGCAGCGGTAAAACGCAAGAATCTCGCAGAATCGGGTGGTCGTTATGCTTATTTGATTGGTCGAGAGGTCATTTGGACTTATCTCGACTGATCTGTGGGGTGACCGGACTGATTTTCACTTTAAGGGAGTCTTTATCAGTCCATTTCGTTCCTTTGATTGGTCAATTTGAAAATATTGTGGGGTGGTCGGACTGAATTGCAACTTAAGGGAGCTTTTATGGGGTGGTCCGACTGATTTGCACTTTAAGGGAGTTTTTATCAGTCGATTTCCTTCATTTTGATTGGTCAATTTGAAATTATTGACAATTTCTATTGGTTCATTTTTTTGGACTGATTCGGACTTATTCGCGGCAGGGGATATCAGTCCTTGAAAATTGCGAAATTCATGCAAAGCAGGCCTACTTTGGGGGCCAAGGTCGCCGTTATTATGTGCAACATTGTGCGACATTAGGCGACATTGGCAATTTTCAAAGAAATGTAATATGCGACGCTGGGCGAAACTGGGCGACATTGGGCGACATTAGGCGACATTGGACAAAACTGAACAGCAATATCCAGATAATGTCAAATATTATAATTCACAAATTATGCATCTACATAAAAAATACAACAGTAAATATCAAAATATAATTTAGTTATCAAGAATTGGTTCCTGTGGCAAAGAACACAATTAGTTTATTACAAATAGTTTGCAAAAATATGAACAAGGAACATTTCTCTATAACTGCTAGCTTGACAATTTACTCAAAGTTTATACCGTAGTACACATACATGCCCAGTGCATGGTACATTTACAGTATCATGGAACTCTGACTTCTTATTAAATTGACTGGTGTAAACACCTCATAGAGTTTTAAAACCTGTTTATGGACTGTGGTATGCAGTGATGGAAGTGGGCAAGGTGCTAATAAATTTGCTCGCTTAAATGTAAGCCAATAAGCTTGTGTTTTAACCAATCATATTAACTTTAAACGTTAGTTGAGAGGCTTTCAACAGTTGCAAACTTTTTATTAGTATAGTTTTCTTGTAGTTACAGTATAAAGTTAATATGTTCAACTGTACTGTGTACGTACATTACTACATCATGGTGTTTGGTATTGGGTTTTTTATTAGTAAGTAAGTAAATCACAAAATAACGATGAAAGTACCTTGTTTGATGTATTTCCAGCAAGAATCAGATATAAATTAATAAATACAAACAAGAATTGAATTCACAAAAGTTTATATTCGTGTATTCGTAAAAGAAATGGCGGCTGGGATTTGAGCCCGCAATACCACGGCACGTCTAATTTAATGGTTTAGCTTCTAACTTGTACTACTTCGTGTAAGGAAACATAATAATTGATTATGGCGGGCCTTGGCGACATTTTATAATAACCTGTACCGTAGATCTTTCTGTGGTGCATTCATTGCTCTGTATCTTTTGCGATGATACCTAATTATGAGATGTCGATCATCGTAGCTTCGTCGAAAAGTAAGTAATTTTATTTTACAAACTACAAAGTCGTATTTTGAACATACTATAGATGACTTTCTTTATTTATAGTCTATATATGTACTATTTAAAACACGAGTAGGAGTGTTTTATCAGATATAAAATGCGAGGCGCAGTCGAGCGTTTTATATCTGATAAAACACGACAACGAGTGTTTTGAATAGCTTAAAATATGACTACAAAAGAATACTAATTAGGATGAACCATTATATAATAATGCTAATTAGGATGAACAATTATACAATGCCACATGTGTTTTATCAGATATAAAGTCACTCCACGTGACATATTATGGCTGACATGATTTGCCACAAGGTTTATGAATTATTAATGAGTATTTTAAATAGTACATATATAACTACAGACGGTACTGTTTCGGCCTTTAGGATACCTAGTGTACTTCACTAGGCTAGTGAGAGGTATTCTGTACTTTAGCACTCATGAATGTATCATGAATGTATCTTTGATAATAAGATCTAAGTTTGATTTCATATACAACATTTAATGGCGTGTGATTGTCTAATTTGACTGAGTTTCACAAAGAAACACATTGGAGAAGATAGCCAGAAGGCTGCCTCAACAACATAATTTAGGTAATTCTCATTGGAATAATGCGTTGTAATTCCATATACATATAAACCCCAAATAACCAAGCCTCATTAGTACTGGTGAGAGATGGTGCCCTAACAGCACATGCCCTTGGTGTTTGTGTACATGTATTTATAAAAAAACATGCAGGAAACTAACAAATAAATAAGGAATAGACTAGAATGGACGACAAACTCAAAGTGCAAAATTGGGCATGCTTGTGCGAGATTATGCGACATTAGGTGAAATTAGGCGACATTAAGCGAATAGACTGTTAGGCAAAGTTCAAAAATCGGGTGCACATGGGCGTAATTGGGCAAAATTAGGCGACATTAGGCGAAATTAGGCGACATTAGGCGATCTTGGCCCCCAAAGTAGGCCTTAATATGATAACAGTCACTGTCATAAGCATGTGGATCTTCAGTTTTTTCTTTGTCCGAGAAACATTACGTCCCAAGTATAAACAGCTTCCACCCTTCTACGTCTTCGTATTTTCTAGTATTTCTCTCTGGCGACAATAAATGTCTCCTTGTGGGACGAGAACAGCTCTGGCTTTTCCAACGAACAATTCCAAAAATTATTAATGGGGGCACAGAAAAACATGACAGAAATCTCACCTGATATAAGCAGTTGTAAGGATTACGCTTTCTTTAAGTAGATATGGGGAAAAAATGCTATCATAGCTTTGGTCTCCGCAACAAAACTGAAATCATATTAGACTATTTGGTATCTATTGTGCAAAACCGTGCAGACTAAGGTGGTATAAATATACTTGCTGGGCAGTATAATTATAACTTTGAAAAGTTAGCCTCACTACCTTCACATAATTTGTATAAGTTTTCGAGTTTTAAGTTTAGGCATAGTAAGGTTATGAAGGTACATTGTTCCATGGCTCCTGCTATCTTTTGCAGCCATGGACCAGTTTTTATACACTACGTCGTCGGAATTTAAAAAAATGACAAGGACCGTGGAACAGGGTGGCCGGGGGCCATGCCCCCCACGTTTTCAATGGATAAAATAATTACCGGATAAAATTCAATCTGCATGCGTGGCATAACTCCCATGTTATCTTGCCTTCCCCTCCCAACCGCCCCCCCATCACAAACACACACATGCACTCACACTTTTAAACAGTCTCCGATATCCCTGTGATCGGGCATTAACTGGTCAACCAATGAGTCACAAAATATTTCGAGACGCAATCAGTATAAATCGCACCAATTCTACATGCAACAATAGAATTGACTGTATAATAGAATTTCCTTCATTTGCATCCATTTACTTCTATGTGGTGCAGGAGAACATTTTGCTCCGTTATTCTAGTTGATACCAAAATACTAGTGCTTATTTTGTAGCATTTTGCGGAATTGGTACTTGCTGGTTGGAATATAAGCTTTCCGAATAGGTGTTTTAATATTGAATGGTAATGTTTCGAGAAACTCTTCTGACACCACTGATTGACCCGCACTTTCATATTGGAAATTAGTGATACATCTTCCACCAAGCATTTTATTTCATCAGAATCAATGGCAATGCTAATTCATTTTTTCGTGACCTAAAATATGAATGCAATCTAGCGATAAAGCTATTGCGATTGGACTAATAACCATATGCGAAAGGGTAATTTGCTTTGGCAAGCTCACTCACTGTCGCAATTACTCTTTTGATCATTGTAATGTCATTAAATTGTCCAGATTTTTGATGACCGTCACAGACTTGCATTTACTAGATTCTTGGCTACTTACATTGTTATGTAAATAGACATTAGTCACCAGATTTCTCTCGAACTGGACAGAAACCCATGTAGGTTTTGGACATAGTTGTGTTTGGATGTTTTTCACTAGTGTTGTTCTAGTTTACATGGTTTATCATAAAGTTTAGATTGTTATAATAATTTAAAAAGCATACAAACTGTTTCAAATGGGACTTAATTAACATTGGCGACGAGGTAAAAACTGAACCCGAAGTCAGAAAGATACGTTTATTTTGCGAAAAGCAAGCGAGGAATCGGAGAAGGCCGAAGAAACAGAATCACCAACGACGGTACGCGTTATTACAGTAACATGAAATGTAAGATCACCGCCATTTATCGCCCCAAACGAACCGTGTGATACGGGTAACGCTTAGAGCATACCATTCAGACAATTGCGAACAAAACACTAATACAGAAATCCATCAACAAAGCCTGGGATTTAATGCTATTCCTTATCGAAGCAGCCCAAATGGAAAATATAAAACGACAAGTTTCTGATATAAAGTCTCCGCAAGCGGAAGTAAAAGCTAGAGTTAATCGAGAGGCAAAGGACGCCCAAACCGAGACAAAAGAATACCATCACCAGAGAAACAATACAACCCCATTTTTCCATAAACCGCACAAAACAGAAGCAGAGGAGAGACGACGAAAAACGAGCCCGACGCCACATCAATGCCAATATTGTGTGTACGATCATCGAAAAGGACACGACTACTCAGCTTTTGGAAAGAGATGTAGCAAATGCAATAAAAAATCATTTTTCATCAGTATGCAGATCAGCAGCCAACTCGAGAGTGATTCCCAGAAGAAAGGAACCGGACAAAACAACCAAAGAAGGCGAATCAAACGGACCACTGAGGAAGATTCATCAATCTGCTCAGACGATGACTATTTTGTACAAGCGGTTACAAACAGCTTTCAAGCCAAGAAAATTACAGGTGCACAAAAACGTAAACAAACTGTGACTGTAAGATTAAACGATGTCGATATTCGAATGGAACGAGACAGTGGAGACGAGGTTAACCTGATGGCTGAACATTAATTCATTATTACACCGAACTAATAAAAAAACAACATTAGAACATTGCCAGATAAAACTCAACACACCGCAACACCCTCTCCATGTAAAAAGGAAGTTTGAAACCGCTATCGGCAATCAATGTGGAAAGCACGCAACATTGTTGTCGCGAAAGGGAGGATAAATTCACCACCCCTCAGTAACGATACCCTCATCGAATTAGGAATGCTGAAACTACAACCGGATGGAGGATTGACAAGCCCGAATGCAATGCCGATAGAGAATGTCAAGCAGAAGACCGTGAAGTTAACCATAAATCAGCCTGAACAGCAGCAGATAGATACGATAATTGCCAAGTACAACCATCTATTTCAAGCAATCGGAAAAATCACAGATAAAAAGAACAACAGAGAAATATATGGGTAATTCCACATGAAACCAGAGGCCATAACAGTAACGCAGAAATCTCGCCCTGCAGCGTACCACCTGCAAAAGCCACTGAAGGAATGGTAACAACAAGGAGTGGAAGAGGACATTTTTGAATACGTTCCTAACGATGAAGCAGTGACGTGATGCTACCCACTGGTGATACATCCAAACCGAGATTCGAAAAGACTCACAAAGAGGGATTTAACCCACATATGATTCGAACAAGTGTCGATCTCCGAGTTCTCAACAAGTACATGTAATGAAGCCGAGTAACCCAAACACCCATTGTTGAAGATTTCATCCACAGATTTCATGATTGCAGCATCTGGACCAAGATGGTCCTCCGTCAAGGTTACCATCAACTTGCTCTCGACCCAGGGTCACGAGCTGTCGCCACTTTTGCCACCCCATGGGGGAATTACCGTCCCAAAACGACTAGTATTTGTAGCCAAAGCATGACAAGGTTTTTTCGATGAAACAATGCAACGAAATCTTTGGAAACATTCCCTTGTGCTTGAACCAGAGAGACGACCTTTAATTTTAATTTGGGCACGGAACTGGTCCGAACACAATGCCACACTCGAAACTGTTTTGCAAAGAGGAAACGAAACGAAATTCATCCCCAGATATGCCTCCCTGACGCAACCACTGCTAGAATTAACCCGCAACGAGACGAAATTCCACTGGTGCACTGAAGAACAGGGCGCATTGAAGAAATTAATGCAGAATGTCTTCAACGATGACACCATTGCGTTTTTTCACCCGGAATGTCCGACCAAGGTGAGAACGGAGGCAAGTTATAACGAAGGTCTTTCGGCAGGCATATTTCAATGCACCGGGAGAGGATGGCAACAAGTCCACTTCATCAGCCGTACTCTCACCGATGTCGAACGGAGATATAGCTAAAGATGCGTTATGTGTAAAATGGGCGAAAGATCGGTTTAGTATCTACTTAATGAGAGCTCCTAGATTCATCATCGTAACGGCGCATAAACCATTACTCCCTCTGTTCAACAAAGCCACTGCAAAGCTCCCATCACGTATCGAGAAATTGGCAATGAACATGCAAGATGTCGATTACGAATGCGATACGAGCCAGGAAAAGATGAGGCTGACCCCTTGGATTTCATCTCGCGACACTCCCTGCCCGAAACAGAAGAAAATAAGACAAAGGAAATGGTCAAGAGTTTTACAGAGGCAGAACCAGGCATCGTTTTAAGTAAAAAAATTTTACATTATCGGATTATACACAAAGCAAACTGGATAGAGTACAGAAAAGATCCAGACATTTCACCTTTTATGGCCATCAAAGACAAGTTAGACGAAGCCAAAGGTCTCGTTTACCGAATTGAATTAAATTGTCCTTCCTAAGAAACCGCAAAAGAAAATGATCAAAATTGC